ATTTCCCTCAAACACTGTGGAAAAATAAGTTACTCTAATAATTGTTCCAGAAAATAATCTGGCAGGATCTTTCAAATTTAAAAGACATCTGTGCCCCATCAATCCCACTCCTGGTAATTGATGCCATGTAAATAAAAGTACCAGTGACTGGCATGTAAAGATATTTAAGTAGAAAAATAGAAATCTTGGGAAGTGATTAAGTCTAAATACTAGGAAGGGTCAATAAACTATGGCCCATCCACACTTTATAATATTGTTACGTGATTAGAAAGAAGGAATTAGAGCTAAGTCAGCTGATTTGGTGGGATTTCCACAAGGTATTACTGGATGAAAAAGTCAGATGAAAAGGACTGTATTATATGTGTTGTGAACAATGACAAAACCAAACCAAAGCACTCTGTGTAGGGATATGGTGCATTCAGACAGAGAACACAGGTTCATCTGCGAGGGAGGCTGAGGGAATCAGATGTACGAGGCAAGACAGAGGGTGGAGAGATGGGGAAAAAAAGGAGAAAGAAGAAACTGTACTAAAAAGAAAAAGGTAGCCTCACATGTGCATGTGTGATATGATCCCATAAATTAAAAACTTATAAAAATTCAAATGTGTGTTTTTGCATAAAGAAACTAGGAAAAAAGATGGAGAGTTACACATCTATTGAATGAAGGGATGTCCATAATTGGCTATAAAGTGAAAAATCAGCAAGCTGAAGGGAAATAAGTATCATATGATGATACAACAGTGAAAGCAAAGAAAGAAAACTATGTGTGAACATGCTTGTATTTCCCTTGGTAAGCGCCAGGGGAAGGGGGCAAGGGAGAATGATTACCTTTGCCTTTAGACATCTGTATATATTATTATTTCACTTGTAAAATGTATGTGTATTATTTTTATAATCTGGAAATCATCAAAAAAGGAAAAGCATTAAGTGGAAAGTAAAACCAAGCAGTGATTATTATTAACATTTAAAATATTTCTTTCCTCTGTAAAAGGAGGATCTTCCTTTTAGGAGGAGGTTGTCCCACTTGTGACGTTAGTAGCCTCTGATGATTGTTGCCTGGGTTTATTAACTCAGGAGTAACAAAGTGGTGATATTATCATTGTGCTGTTTCTTCTTGATTTATTACTTGGACTACTTCTACAAAGACAAGCTTCCTCTCACCAACTATTTGATTACAATAATAATTTTAAGGACTATGCTGCTTAGATATTCTTGCCATAGGGAAAGTCAGTATTTAGTCTTTACACACACACATGCACTGTGGCAGTTTGAGGGTAGTTAGAGATTCTTGTACATTTCTCCCATGGAGAGCTGAGGTCTATGTCCCCTCCCTTGAGTCTGAGTGGGCTCTGTTCCTGCTTTGGTCAGTAGACTATGGCACAGGTAGTACTATGCTAGTTTCCAGGCTTAGGCCTTAAAAGACTGGAAATTAATCTCTTGGAGCATTTGCTCTCAGAGTCATTGGCAGTGATGTAAGAAGTCCGGCTACCCTGCTAGAGATGCCATGAGCCCTGACACCTTCTTGAGAGAGAAAGAAGCCCAGTTGGACCTAGCCTCAGCCATCCCTGCTAGGGGCCAACGGCGAGTGAAGCTGTCTTGAGTGCTCTGACCAGCCAAACCACCAGCTGAGTACCACCAAGTAACCCCAGTTGGTCACCAAATTCCTGACCCTTTGGAACAGGAGATATAATACAGACTTTGTTGTCTTAATCCACTAAGTTTTGGGGTCATTTTTAATGCAGCTATGGAACACATCTCTCTCTCACATACACACACACACACACACACACACACACACACACACACACACCATTCAGCACTTGTTCTTTTGTATTTTTAAGATTGGAGAACACTCTTGTCTGAGCAGCATACTTGACCAAGTCTTTATTACCTATGTCAGATTTGTTCATCACTATTCTAAGATTCTGTTCTATGGATCTTCTCTGTCTCCAGCCCAATCCAGTGTTCCTTGCTACCAGATCAAACTTCCTAAAGTAACCCTTTGTGCCCACATCAGTTAAGTTTCTTCAGAAAGCTACTGAAACTGATGGTTTAGCTCCTGCTGGATTAGTCGGAAAGATGCATAGGGAGGGAATGGAAGGCAGAGCTGGGTAGCCTGGTGTCAGGAAGAACAGGAGCTGTGGAAACTCTGGGTGTCTCAGCAGCAGGGGGTCATGAGCATATTCTCTAGGGCTTTACCTTGAGATAACTCAGTTCTACCCATCTTTGGTCCCAGAATGGTTTCATTCAAAGGTTAAAAGTTATTTGATTTGGAATGTTCAAATCTGATCGTATAGCATGGGTCATCTCTACAGCCAGGGAGCACAGTGGGTGGCACGCACATGGCACTGTGGGAATTTCTGTCAGCTGATGGACACCACTCGGGGCATTTACCATAGTCCATCCCTCGGCTTCATGCAAACACACACTTGACCTTTCTTCATAATTATCCAAAGGTGACCCTGGACAACAGGCCAACTGCTGAAGCACTCAGCCCCTCCATGGGGGTGGTGGGAGAGTAACCCAAAGTCATCACCAACTGCTGCACATCGAAATGAGTTCTTGAGTTCACTCTCATTTTAGTTGGGGCTCTCCCAGTGATGTTGACTTCTACTGGAGTTTCACTGTGAGCCTATTGATAGTCTACAGTCTATGAACCAAATG